ATGACCCATGAGGGAAGATTGAAAGAACTGGGTTTGTTACTCTGGAAAAGAGAAGACTGAGAGGGGACATGATAACAGTTTTCAAGTACCTAAAATGTTACAAGGAGGAGGGAGAAAAATTATTCTCCTTAACCTCTGGTGATAGGACAAGAAGCAATGGACTTAAATTGCAGCAATGGAGGTTTAGGTTGGCCATTAGGAAAAACTTCCTGTCAGGGTGGTTAAGCACTGGAATAGATTGCCTAGGGAGGTTGTGGAATCTCCATCATTGGAGATTTTTAAGAGCAGGTTAGACAAACACCTGTAAGGGATGTTCTAGATGGTGCTGGTCCTGCCATGAGTGTAGGGGACTGGACTTGATGACCTCTCGAGGTCCCTTCAGGTTCTATGAGTCTATGAAATCTAAAATCAGCAGTGGATTAAAGGAGAGAATTTACTTCAAAAAGGGAATAATGAGCCACATGAACCACATAATCCATTCTCCAATAAAGAGCGTGAGACCACCGAATAAAGCTGTGTTATAAATCACAGCCATTGCAGTGTCACACATATTAAAATCCCTCGCCACTTCAGTAGATGCATTGGGAAGAAAATACTTTCCAAAGCCGCAGCAACGGAAACTAAAAGGAGCCAAAGTCTCATTTTCCCTGGTGCTAAAGGGGAAAAGTTCTCAGGGGACTGGCTGGTCACTGCACAGACCCAGGGGGCTGCGGATTGTCTCTCTGGGTGCAGCCTGGGCAGAGAGAGGCACAGATTTAAACAGGAAACTGTCACCCCTATTTGCATATCACCCTTCTTATGACACATAAAACTTCCTCACTTAACGAGCCCAATTTACTTGCCTGGGGATTCAGAAAGTGGCTAGAAGAAGTGAGGGAGGAACATTCAGGGCTCAGGGCGCTCACCTGGGGCTGTGCACACACAGGCTGGGTTCTCTGCCCTGTCCCAGACTTCCTGTGTCACTGGGGAAGTCACCTGGGGCCGGATTTTTCCAAGTACCGAGGCATCAATGTACATTCTCTGAAGCACCGAGGTGCCCGACTCCCATAGGTGTACCTCAGTTCTCAGGCTGTGAAATGGGGATAATCGAACTCTCCTCCCTCTGCGGGGTGCAGGGAGAATAGATGAGATAGAAAGTATGAGGTGCTCAGATATGACGGTGACTGGGGGAGAGGGGGACATGTGTGTATCTAAGAGAAAAAAAAACTCTGGGTGTGATGCTAGGATCACTGAAATGAATGGAATTAGTTCATCAATTACCTTCATTTGGCCTTGGGCCACTCCCCAATGCAGCAATTAATGGATATTCCTTCCCATGAGAAAACTGCTGGTTGGGTGACATGATTAACTTGAGCAAAAATGTCTGGTGTACGAAAAGAAAAGCGACTTTAATCCTTGTAGGGCCTGATGTGAAAGGCCTTTTCAACTCAGTGGAAGCCACCCCACTGAGTACATCATTTGTGTCACGCCCTGTGTTCATAAACCTGATGCTGGAAACTTTTCGGCTGTTGCTCAAAATATCAATGCAAATGTCTTCACCAGTTGGTATGGAGTTCTCGCTAAACCGGAGCTAATTATGGTGCAGAGGATGCTTCCCTCAGAGGGTCATCAATTGTGTTTGACGCAGAAAACTCTCGGAGCGATCAGATTAGTAGAAGAGCCCTGGGCAGATTTTTAGGTATGGGTCAAATACCAAATCTGACTGATTATAGTGAGACTATTGGCAGTGGCGTAGCCAGCTTCTAAGAGGAGGGGGAGCAAACATAAAAAAGGCGCCCCCCCCTTGGCTCCTCCTCTGGCCACGCCCCCATGGCTCCTCCTCCGGCCGCCCTGCCCCTCCCCCCCATGGCTCCTCCGGCCGTGCTGTGCCACCCCCATGGCCCCCCCCCTCGCTCCTCCGGCCGCGGCTGCCAGCCGCCATGCTGTGCCCCCCCCGCTCCTCCGGCCGCGCTCGCCGCCCCCCCATGGCTGCCAGCCACGCTGCGGGCCGCCAGCCTGCGCCCCCCCTCGCTCCTTCGGCTGCTTTTGGAAAGGCGCCGCTTATGGAACATGTGCTGAGGGGAAGCGGCTGCTTCCCCTGCTCCCCGCTAGCTACGCTACTGACTATTGGTGGGATTGAGGAATGAAGGGTTTTGCCCAATATTAGTGAGGTCATGGACCTTCGCCTGTCAAAGACTCAATGTCATTTCTGCATGATCAGGGCGAGATAATCCCAGTACAGATGAGGATGATGATAGTAGAACCTAGCTGCTATATAGCCATAGATTTCAGAGCGCCTTACAAAGCAGATAAGCAGCGTTATCATAATTTTTCACATAGGGAAACTGAGGCACGTGGAAGTGAAGTGACTGGCCCAAGATCACCCAGGAAATAAGTGGCAAAACTGGAAGTAAATTTCAGCTCTCTTAAATCTCAATTCGGTGCTTACCACTATGGACACCTGCAATGCACAGCACAGTAAAGGATAGAAAAGGCAGTAGACCAGCTCTGTAAACTGGCTGACTATTTTCCACTCCGTGTTAGGTCTGATTCTGTTGTCAGTTACGCAGTGTAAATCTGCAATAATTTTGTTTAGTTCAGGGGAGTGACCCTGGATTTAGGCCAATATAACTGAGAGCAGAATTTGGCTAAATCTTTTCAAATCCAGTGTCTTCACCTTTAACACACTCAGAAATTGTCAGAAGGCTTTTTCAGTGTATGTATCTGCATGTGTGTTTTTGTCTGTGTATCTCAGTGTAAGTGCTTGAAGGTGTGGGTGTGTGTGGGGGGGTGCTTGTATGATTGTATGTCTGTGTTTGTGTGTCTATGTAGGTGTGATGATGTCTCTACGTGTTTGTGTGTGTGTGTTTGAAATAGAAACAAGGCTGACAGGAGCTCTTAGTGGGGCAATGTCTGACGTACAGAGCAATTCCAGGCTGAATCTTTAAAACTCACTTAGAAATGCAATTTACCTTCAACTATTTATAATCCAGGGACCAACATTTCTTCCCCTGACCCTTTCTCTCTGATGCTCCCATCACGGTGTTCTGTGCAGTCTACGGCTCGTTAGCGCCCCAGGCAGAGAACTTCTTCCGCAGCTGCCAGGAAGGTTTTTGTCTGAGCTCAGATTCACTTCCCCTCACTGTGTATCTCGCACAGTAATACACGGCGGTGTCCTCTGCTCTCAGGCTGGTCATTTGCAGGTAGAAGTTGGTGCTGTCCTTGGAGGCTGTGAATCGGCCCTGGACGGAGGAGGCGTAGGACTTGGTGTTCGCCTCATCGTAGTACTGAGCCAGCCACTCCAGCCCCTTTCCTGGCACCTGTCTGACCCACTCCATCCATGTGCTGCTAAGAGTGAACCCACTGGTGGCACATTGCAGTGTATGGGACTCTCCGGGCTTCTTCAGCGCTGGCCCCGACTGGCTCAGAACCACCTGCGAGCGGGCCCCTGGCGGAGAAGGGAAATGAGGCAAGTTGTAAATAAACTCTAAAAGCAGCAGCGGATTAAACGAGCATATTTAAGTCAAAAAGGGAACAATGAGCCACATTAAGCTCATTTTTCCAATAAAGCCCCTGAGACCACAGAAAAAAGCTATGTTATAAATCACACCCATTGCAGCAGCATCCATATAATAAACCCTTGGACCTTATACAGATTGACTGGGGAGGAAATACCTTCCAAAGCCGCAGCAGTGAAAACTAAGAGGAGACAAAGTCTCATTTTCCCTGGTGCTGGAGGGGAAAGTTCTCAGGGGACTGGCTGGTCACTGCACAGACCCAGGGGCTGCGGATTGTCTCTCAAGGTGCAGCCTGGGCAGAGAGAGGCACAGATTTAAACAGGAACCCGCCACCCTCGTTTGCATATCCCGCTCCTTGTGACACATAAAACTTCCTCACTGAAAGAGCCCGATTTCCCTGCCTGGAGATTCAGAGAGTGGCACAAGGAAGTGAGGAAGGATCACTCATGGGTCAGGGCGCTCACCTGGGACTCTGCCTGCCCTGGGTTTACTGCTCTATCACAGACTTCCTGTGTCTCCCGGGACAAGTCACTGGGGTCCGGATTGTTCCAGGTATTGAGGCATCGAGGGGGATTTTCTAATGCACAGAAGCGCCCAACTCCTATAGGCGTACCTCAGTTCTCAGGCTGGGGATAACGGGACTTTCCTGCCTCATCCCGGTGCAGTTAATTCTAAAAATTAATACTTGCCACTCCAGGCTTGTATTAAACTCCCAATGTTACAGCTTTTCTGTGACCTTGGCTTTGTAAACGCTGGACGCTGCCACCACCAAATTGGAAAAAAAAAAAAAACCTTGGACCCAGGAAGGAGCACTTGGGAATTCCTCCTTGTGGGGTACCCTCAAGCCCTTACACACACACACACACACACACACACACCCAAGAGCTGAGAAGGAAAACAAAGGACATTAACTGTTGCCACCAGCTAATCAAACAGCATATGTACAAACCTCTTAGGAAAGACAAATCCAAATCCTGTTCTTTAAAAAGGTAAATTTTAGTAAAATCAAAAAGAAAGAAAATACATCTGGATCTTAGGCTTTTGCTA